CTCACTTGCCGACAGACCAGGAAATAATTCGTGGGACTAACACTTGGATACAAGGATGGGTGGAAGGATCTGCAGCCCATCCCTAGGCACAGAGAGCACGCCGTTTGCTGGGATTCACCAACACCACAGAGAGCTGGTGAACGCACTGCCTCAATCCTGATCCCCAGGGAATGCTAGTAGGATGCCTGCAGTGCAGAGTCAAGGTTTATTTGAGGAACAGGATGGTCAGAAATCAAGTTTGAGTGTTTCACAACATCAGAGAAGCTTGAGATTTGTTTACAGCGCCTAATTATAGCAGTTTAGTGCCAGCAGAGAACAAGGAAAGATGAAAGATGTGCTGTGAGGAAAGAATATGCAATGGGCAATTGCAGTACTGCATCAAATTCCTCATGAAAAGAACTCTTCTAAGTCCTTATAAAATATACCTGAGGACAAAAGGTGAATACATGATGATACTTTGTAAAAGTAGTTGGGGAAATGGCTGCAGCATTTCGTAATCAGAATGAGTCAGAGATGATATTTCTGGGAACATGCATGCAGAAGGCAAGAATTTCCCCCGGGAGGCAGGGAACGGTTGGTATCTGAAAATCATCAGTTCTTTAGTTCCACTCGATGAGCTGTGGAGAGAAGGGAAATCAAATGCCAGAGGAAGATGGCATGAAGCAGAACAGATCCAGCCTTTGTAACAGGGAGTCAGTACTGGGGAAAGCAGGCTTAAAAATAGAGACCTTTAAACAATTGAACTGGTGGTGTAAAAATCAAAGAGATAGGAGTCTCTCCTGGCTGTCCCACCCAAGACCTACGTGGTGTGTTTATCTTTTGGAGGAGGGAATCTGAGGAGCTTTAAATCTCCTGATTTCTTGCCATGAATATGAACAAGAACAGATGCCAGACATTTCCTGCACATCATCTGCTCCTGGATGCACCATGTTACACTGCAGGTAGCAATGCTGGCTCTTCAGCCTGGGCTTCCCACAGGATGGTTCTCACAGCAGCAGCAACATGAGTCTTTCAGCTATACCAGATGATCTGTTTAACAGAACAGAAAGGGATTTGGACCAGGACAGCTCCAAAATCACTCTCAAAGCTCTCAGTCAGGCAGCTGAGCAGATGCCAGACCCTTTGGCATTCCAGGTATCTCCTCTTTGCGCAGATACTCTTACACCAGCCACCATCAGCTCTGTGTGTTGAACAGTGAAGGACACATCCACAGGTTACGTGACTTGGACGTAGGAGAGATCCTTTTTCAGGCCTCCATTTACAGGCATCAGATTATAGTGGCAGTAACTTAAGCAAATACATACATACTCAACTGGATGTGGAGCCAGATTTTCACATGTTTGGCCACTGACACTGCAGCCGTATTTCTTAATTCTCTGTCAGACTCCTGAAGAGAGTGGGACAGTTTTCCAAGAAGGTCAGTAGCCCCCAGATAGAGCTCAGCTATTAAAAGCTGTTAAGCCATTGAGAGACCAGCAATGTCACCAAAGCTTTTGATAGGAGACCCAGACAGGTCTCTTACACATGCTCCACGCATCTCTAATGAAGTTTCAGCTTGCAGAGTCTATTACGTCTCCTGCCTCCAGCTCAACTCCAACCTCAGGATATGCAGAACATTAAAGCTGAGGTAAAGATGTTCCCACTCCTTCCCTTAGGTCCAGGATGACCAGACTCCTGATACCTTTCACCCCACTTTTGAAAGGGAGAAGCTCCACAATTCCTCTATCTAAAGCAGAAACCAGAGGAAGAGGAGGAGAACAGGTTACCTCCTAACATCTCATGGACTGGGCACTGGAACCAACAAAACTCAGAGTAACAGCCAGTGATTCATTGATATTCCTCCCTTAGGTTTTAAGCCAAGGCAAGCAGGTAAACTTTTGCCAAGATAGCAAGGTAAAAGTTAAGACCTTGTAAGAAGTGAAAATACCATTGAGTCAAGCTGTCCTGATCATGGCACAAAAGCTCTCTCCCTTTTAGCAAAGTGAGACTACAGGGTTACTTCTTGCTGCAGGAATTTACGTACAAAGGGGTTGTTGATTTTGTTCTGCTTGCTTGTTACTGCTCCCAAAGGTTTGATATTTGACACAGCACAGTTGAGGCCGGGCCATGATATGGGCCACTGACGTGCTGGCATCAGAAGTACATTCTCTTTTACAGGCCCTGGAGCATGAGCTGAACTCCAAAAGGATCAAGTATTGGGTAGGAGTCTGAAGCTGCTTACTATGTCCAGGATGGAAATGTCTGTGTTTAGATGTAGCTTGCCAGGAAGGAGTAGGTAAGATTGTTCTGATCTTCATGACAAAATGCTTATCAAGTATATAGAGCTTTGAGAAAACCCAGACAGTTGTTAGAAGAACCTGATGAACTGCTGTCAGGATGTGACATTTGTCATTGGAGTGAATAATCTGGTGTGGCTGCTTTGTCTCATGTTTTGCCAGTGTGAAAACCAGGGTTTGCTCCAAAGCAAAAAAGTGTCCAACAGAAAGAAAAGGTCTGGAAACCATAAACACATCAGAGATGGTTTGAAATCTCATTTTCTTAGAAGATTAATAAGAGATATATGCCAAGGCCACACACAATTTAGGCCTGATTCACCCAAAGCCACTCGAATAAAACCAGGCATATTGCAGAGACTGCACATACATAACATGGACCCATGGAAATTAAGTTTCTATCTTTAAACTGACTACTCTAGCCCATTTTCCCCTGCAATAAATACTTACTATGCTGGTAAGGAAAGGTGGAAGAGACAGAAAGTGAGCCTAAATTCTTTGGTAGAGGTATAAGCAGGTGACTTAAACATTTGAGGTATAGCCAAAAGGCATAGATTTGTCAGTACCCTGCCAAGGCACTCAGATGCTTTTCTGTAGGGGATGCAGTCCCTGGGCATATCAACAAAATGACAAATGTCTTTCGAGGCATCCTGACACGCTGCAAGGTTTGGTTAGTTTTTGGACAGATGTCTTTAATAGGTCCTCTTTCACTCTAAGATAGTCATGTCTTGTGTATGTTACACAGCTCTGGAGAAATGAACTGAGCAAAGTTTAGCCTTTATCGTGCAAAAAATATCCTGTTAATGTCAGATCTCTACTTGTGATTAAACGAAGAGGAGCAGCAAACTAAGCTTTCTGGCCTGCAAGTACATTTTTTCTTGAAATGTTATCAGAAGACTGCTAGAGAGACACTCCAGCTACCTGGTTGGGAAGAGCAAGCAACATTGACACCTACTGTTGGATATTTTAATTGCTGATAGCCGCCAGCTGCTGACTACAAGATTCTTGTGAAGCAGGAGGAAGATTAAAACTACATGCTAACACTTTTATTTTGTTTTTATTTTGCCTCCTGCAGTGCTTTGGAGGTGCACTTAATTGCAAATCGAGAAGCTGCATGTGAAGGGAAACTTCTTCCTGTAACGCAATTTCTTCCTTTGTTTAGTTCATGCAATTCAACTATTCTTTGGGAGTGAGAGTGTTTTATGAGGCTAGCTGATAAACATGAACGAGCTCAAAACTAATGCTGCTAGTATCAGACAAGGCTCTATTGCATGCTGAGTCAGAGAGCACGCTGATTTCTCAGGAGATTCAACCCTTCTCGCTCGTCAGGAAATGAGGTTCCCGTACAGACCCCTCGGAGCGCATCAGAAAGCGCTACCCAGCCAAGTATAGAGGACAGGTTTGAAAGAAAGAATTTATCACATTTTACCAGAGTGTCAGATCATATTTAACACCTTTAAAGTGCTTCACACTAAAAAGTTAATCATTGTGGTTTCCTTCACGCAGAGCTGATTTTTTCCAGCCCATTAAAGAGAATTTAAGCATAGGATGAAATGACTCTCTCAAAGCTAGCAGAAAGCTGGCAATCTGGCAGAAAGAACTTACATCTACATCTTCCCTCCAGATATCACCCTTTTCCTCCTCAGAAACTTTCAGCAAACTAGCTTCAACAGACTATCCATAATTCTGAATAGCTTCTTATTGCTCATATTAACAATTTGTGAAAAGAGATGAGAGAAAAAAGCTCCAGAGCTGGAAATGTAACCACCATCAAAGAGAAAAAAGTCTGACAACATAGAAGATAGCAATGCCCATACTTGCATACATTACATATGGTGATCTATATTACTCCAAGAAATATTGCTTCTCCCTGCTATTCCCAACATAAGCTATATGCATATACAGTTATGCCTCATCCACCATATTTAATCCACTCCATAAACAAAATCTGGAATTCTAATAAACTATAGCAGCAGGTCAGTGGCTTCAGTGCCAGCACATGATATGGAAAACTTTGAGGGCTTTTCCAGGCTCCCATTCAACCAAGTCTGGGTGACCTACTGGAAATTCACCTTCACATTGTCTTAACAGGAATTAAGCAACATCTCAGTGCAGAGAAGCTGGCCATGTGCCTGCTCTGTATTATTGCAATATCTGCAGTGGCCGTGAGTGTGCAGACAGAATCCTCTGACTCAAAATCATCATTTTCAGCACCTGCATCTGCCTTTTAAAAAATCCCATTCAGATATGCTTAGAAGAAAGACATTGCATCCTGAAATCAACAAAGTGAGACATTTAAGATAAACATATACATTGCTTTTTAAAAAAAGCCTTTCACAACAACAACTGCTGACAAGCTCATATAGAATAAAAAAGATTCACGTAATTTCAATCTATGGAGCTTCACAGAAAGCTAAGACAAGACATGGACGCTTGGCAACAGAGCTCTCAGTTCAGGAAGCAGCTGACAGAAGAAGAGGGAATAAGTGTGAGAGGAAATGCAACCTCCATTCCTACTCTGCCTTGACCTCCACCTCCCTCCTCTGGAGGAGAGAACTGGCACCAGCACTTACAAGGCCACTCAAAAAAGGCCTTGAAGAACTCAGATTTGCAGAAAGTGGGGACACGGCCAGGGACGTAGTGGGGTGAATGGCCAGCACTAAAGGAACAATCAGGTCTGTGTGGCTGAGCAGGCCAGGAGATAGACGAGAGCTATGTTCTCCACAGGTACCTGGACTACATCCATGTGATGACTTATGACTTCCATGGCTCCTGGGATGGACAAACTGGCGAGAACAGCCCTCTGTATAAAGGCCCAGCTGACACTGGTGACCTCGTCTACCTCAATGTTGTAAGTATATTTTCTGAGATTGTGTCACAGATGATTATCATGACACCAGTGATCAGAAGTTTAAGGAGTCATCCTCCTGCCTACAGATCCTGGCACAGACTTTAACTGTGGTGGGCTTTTTACAGGACTATGCTATGAACTATTGGAAGAACAGTGGTGCCCCAGCTGAGAAACTCCTTGTTGGATTCCCAACCTACGGACATAACTTCAACCTCCAAAACCCATCTGACACTGCTGTTGGGGCACCAGCATCAGGACCTGGGCCAGCTGGACCTTACACAAGGCAGGCTGGGTTTTTGGCTTACTACGAGGTATGCCTGCTCCTACACACCTAGGCCACCAAGGTGCCTTTCACACTACCCAAGAAGGGAATGTTAATCCATGGATCCATGGAATATGCCAACTGCCCTTTTCTGTAGGACACTTGCTAACTTCTCCCTCTCTCCCCTTTTTCTCCTAGATCTGCACATTCCTGGACTCTGGAGCCACCCAGGCTTGGGATGCCCCCCAGGACGTGCCCTATGCCTACAAGGGCAACGAATGGGTTGGCTACGACAACATCAAGAGCTTCAGCATCAAGGTATGGTGGGATGGGTGGCTGTGCAATAATAAAGCAGGAGGCCTTCTGCAGTAGCAGGTCCAGGGACTAATTGGGATTTCTCCCCTGGCACTGAACAGTTCGACTGGCTGAAGCAGAACAGTTTTGGAGGTGCTATGGTTTGGGCCCTTGATATGGATGACTTCACTGGCTCTTTCTGCAAGCAGGGCAAATATCCCTTGATCACCACCCCGAAGAACGTTCTTGGTCTCCAAAACAGTGGTGAGGAACTTGAGTAACATAGGGTTTGTGCTTATTACATCAGCTACAAAAAGCTGGTGTGCTCGTAATACCATGGGACCATGGAAGGAGTGTAGGGAGGACAGTCCATTATAAATATAATCTCTTCCCAAAGGAAAATTATTTCCTGCTTTCATTTCAGGCTGCAAGACCTATTAACAGTCCAGTCCTCAAGTTCCTGTAGCTCCTAAACAGGAAGTGGAATTGGGAGTGTGAGCATGAGCTGGAGTAACAATTTCGGTGACTGTGGTCCGAGTGGTTTCTGTGCTGGCAAAGCCATCCAGACCCAACCAACCAGAGCAGCTTTTGCCAACGTTTGAACATCAAAACTTGTTTCAGAATTCCAATTACAATCTTGTTTATAATACCAGCTGCTCCTGTTACAACTGACCATGAAGATACCAATCCTTTTACAGCAAAAAAAAATCCTTCTGATCTTTTTGACTGGAATAATAATGATTAAATAAAGTGTTCGTTTCAACTCATCTTGCTCTTAATAATTCGATGCTCCCAGATTCGTGATACTTACACTTATGTTCCGGGAAGACCCTGAATCCACAAGCTGTAATTTAAACAGCCATAAACAGGCTTTCTTGGTGTGCCACTGGAGCATTCAGTGAGGGGGAAAAAAGCAGAAGGAAGGGACAAGGCAGAGCCGGCTGTGCCATGAGAGAGCACACAGAGAATGGTCACAGTGGTACAGCCAGGACACTGGCTCCCCGCAGAGCAAGGCCTGTGCATTTGGCCAGGAAAAAACATTCTCCTCCTGGAAAAGTTACCTTCCACATGGACCAGTCTTAAAAAGCTCCCACAGCTCTGGCCATGAAGCATCAATTACTCCCTGCTGCAGGAATGGTTCAGCTGAGCATGTACCAATTCACAGGCAGACTCCTGATGTGTCCTAGAGCCCCAAAAGTCCTCTCCATGGCCTGAGCAGCAAGGGACACTCATGCCCCATTGCGGCAGCCTAAGGGCGGAATGACAAAACTGTTCTTCCTCCTCTCCCAACAAAGGTTCATTTAAAAAGCAACTGCTCAGAGAAGAGAAGTGAGTGGGAGTGATCTCTTCTGCTGCTCAGGCAATTCTGCCTTTCCCCTGATGCAAATGGTGTCTTAAAAATATCAGCAAGAGTATTCCACTTTTAAAAGAACAGGGAATGAGCTTCTGGTACTTCCTGGAATAGAAACCACAGAGCAAGAAAGGCTTTGAGATAGGAGCAAGAGCAGCCCAGTGTTTCTTACCAGATCCACAGGTAAGAGAAGCATACTTCAAAGCGGCAGAGCCACAGCTTTGCAAGAATTTGTAGGCTGTTCCCACCATAGACTATCAGTTTCGATCACATGTGCTGGGGGTGCAGTTCACTCATGCACACACTCCAGCTCCACGGATCACTTCAGACCCCACTGAGAAGCAGAACTGAAATGACACAGCAGCCCTGTGGGGACCTGCCCAAGGACGAGCGTCAGCCTCCACTGCACTTTGGCATGCTTGGCTTTCAGTGCAGCTCCTGCCAACACGCAGAAGTGCAGAAAAGTCACTCGAGAGTCTTCCATCACCTGCACACAGAAGCTGCTCCAGCTTTTTGTCCTCACCTTCATTGGTCATGAATCATTTTTTCAGAAACAGACTCTGTTTGAGAAGCAGAGAGAGATCTGGAAAAGCAGTAGGCCTTCATGTCCTTGTGCTTGTAGCACACAGACAAACACAGAACAATCTCAGTGGGTAGGGTGGTCATAGATCTCTGTACACATAGCCTAGAGCAGGTAGATCCTTGTACTAAGCCAAAGGCCTCATGACTCATATGAGCTCTGGCAACATAGGCTATACATATATATGTATATGCAGACAACTTTGGGGTAAATTTACATAGAAAAATTCCCAAAGAATTTCCAAGAACACCACTCCACACTAAAAAAAACATACTCGCAACAGGTTGTCTCTGTGGCGGTAGGAAGTTGCCTGCAGTGAGGAATATCAGATTAGCAGCCCAAAACAGGCATAGTTCTCCCCAGGTTTTTATTGGCAAAATCACCTATCTGCTCACATCCAAATCCATCCAGAATGCATTTAATCCAGCTCAACAGAATCTTTGCAGCCTCGCTTCACATGGAAATCCAAAGGTAGATCTCGCATGCACCTTGCCAAAGGCCCATCTGCCTAACAGATGTGTCTGCATTGCTAACATGAACCTTGGCTGTCGTAATGCTGCCATCAGCACAAATCCCTGCATCGGCTGTCAGCTCCAATCTCCCTGTGCCAGGAGACCGATTCCCCTACCTCTGCATCCAGATAAGGGTTGGGATAGGGCTCTCTGAAATACATGGCGCCATTGCATTGACCTTGACATTTCTCCCCAACTTAGCCTTCCACAGGGACCTGCCTAATCGCCATAGGAAGGGCAGGGCGAACAAAACAACCTCTCTAAAGCAATGGCTCATGTACACTGAGGTTAGCAAGGCCAGGACGGCTAAGGTCTTTGGGGAAAACAGCAGGTTTTAGAGAGTTTGCTGAGACAGTTGTCAGACACATCTTGCAGGAGATGGGTGCAAGGCTATGCAAGCACTGTGCCTGAATCTGACAAACTTCTGGGCCTGAAAAGATGAGAAAGCTTAAGGAACCATCCTCAGGGTCCACACCAGGAGAGGAACACCTGGGTGCAGCTCAGCTGGAGAGAACATGAAATTCGAGCTCTCCTTTCCAAGACACATCAGCAAAGAGCCCAGGCAGTTGAAAGGCAGACAGACTTAGTCCTAGCATAATCACAGAATCAGCACAGGTATTTTAGTCAATGCATGGAGTGAAGCTAAAGCAGAAACAATCCACATTGGTGGATCTCTCTGAAACGCAACACTTCAGCTACAGGAATAATGTGCAAGGTTTCTGCATACTCAACACTTTCTTAACTTGAATCCTTTTAGCGAGGACCAATTCTTCTGCCCTGACTTAAGGCCTACTACCACTCCCACAGGAACCAGTGGCAAACAACCTTTCTCATAACAGAAAGAAGGCAGAAAAACTCCTGAAGAAAAACTCCAGGATTTGGCCAACTGACATTTGTTACCATCACATGCAGACAAATCAGTGTCCTTGATCCTTCCCCAAATGCTCTCCTTTTCACACTGAAAAATGCTTCTACCGATAACAGACCTGCAAGGCTCCAGAGGTCATTGAGGGTGGGATTTTCTGAATCTATTCCAGTAGAGTTTGTGCTGTGTTATTTATCGACAAAGAAACACACTGGAAAAATACTCCTCGAAGATGGTTTTCTCTTTCATTATCTGCCATATCTCATCCTGTGCATGCATGAAACCTGAAGGGTCAGCCTAAGCCATTTTAATCCGCAGGTCAGTGACTTCAGTGCCAGCACATGATATGGGCAACTTTGAGGCTATTTTCCAGGCTCCCGTTCAACAAAGTTTGTGTGACCTACAGGAAATTCACCTTCACATCATATTAACAGGAATTAAGCAACATCTCAGTGCAGAGCAACTGGCCATGTGCCTGCTGTGTCTTACTCCAACATTTGCAGTAGCCCTGACAGTGCCTAGGGTGCAAAAGGAAAGAAACCGCGTATGGCTTCAAACACAGGAATAGCTTTGAGTCTCCACCTGGAGTGAAGATGAAACAAAGACGAAGAAAAAATACTTTGCAATAAACCCATAATTTTTAGCACCTGTATCTGCCTTTTAAAAAATTCCATTCATATATGCTTTATGTAACAAAGTGAGACATTTCAGCTAAAACAGATACATTGCTTTCTAAAACAAAGCCTTTCACAACAACAACCACTGATGAGCTCATATAGAATAAATGACATTCATGTGATTTCACTCCATGGAGCTTCACAGAAAGCTAAGTCAAGACACGAAATCTTGGCAGGTCTCAGTTCAGGAATAAAGAAGAGGAGGGAATAAGCGTGAGAGGAAATGCAGCCTGCACGATGCTCTGCCCTGGACTCTCTCTCTCACAGAGCTTGACCTCCAAGAAATGATGCTTCTCCCCGAAGACAATTATCTTCTCAAGACACTGTCACATTTATTAGGCTGCTAAGCATCCACTCTCCGGGTCAGTAGTACACTAATTGTTTAAGGCATGTGTTAAATTCTCACCTTTTTTTTATTTCTTGATAACAAGTCACGAAGAACAACTCAACAGAAGCTGATTCTGACTCGCTTTGGTTGTGGGACACGAGAAATCCCTCTCCGCTTCCCTGAAGTGACAACACCTCAGGCGGCGTGGGCAAGAGACAGCTCAGATCACAAAGTCCCCTGGATCCTGACAGACAGTTTCGGTACAGCAAGTAAGCCCAGTTCCCGTGTCCTCCAAAAAGCCCATTGCTGTGTGCCGAAGCCCTACTCAGTCCTGCCTCGCTAACTGCCACAGTCAAGAAGACAAAAGCCTTGAAAACCACCTTTGGTTTGGCAGAGCCTAACCCCTCTGGGCCGACACAATGAGAGCGCAAGGTGAACACTTCAGCCATCTATTACTGCGTAATCACCAGTAGTGACAGAAAGCCTGTTGCTGTAAAGAAAATTTCCAAGAATAAAAACCATCTAATCTGGTTCTTCAACCGCTCTCACAGCACCATGACACGGCACAGCTTGATATAGTGGCGTCTCCAGCGGGAGTGTTAATGCCCATTGTACTGGCATCATTTTTTTGTGATTCTGATCTTTACCAAGTTTCGTAATGTTTGTCCATCTTTGTTGATACAAGAATTGGATGAAATGAGTGTATAAAACTGAGAAACGGTCTGCACCGGATCAGTCCTGGTCAAAGATGGCCAAACTCACTTTGCTTACCGGTAAGTCCTGCTTCAAAACTTCTCTGCCTTTATAACAAGTCTTTGTGGCTTTTTCACTGTTGTACTGGGTGGCTATATAGGGGGTTATGGGGGATTAAAAATGCTGCACACTCTCTTCTATCAAAGGAAGGTATATAGCCATTACTTTCAGGATGATTACATGTTGCACTGCTTTTGGAGTTGATTTCTTTTTCTTCAGATATGCAAATTCCTGATTTAATTGCTTTATTAAATTGAAAAACTATCTTGGACAAAGAAAATGACACTCTGAGGAGGAAAACTGGTCATTCTGATAGGCAGGCTATTACTGTGTCCATACCAGCATATATCCGAAATGGCTTCAGCTATTTCAACTTGCTTATAAACATCAAGATAACCCGTTGCCTAACCCTGGCTGAAAGAAGCAGCAGAACGTTGAGCTGTTAATGACCATGAGCTCCTCTGCATGTGCCCTTTGATCAGAATGAATTGTGACCTGGGAGACAGGTTATGTTGGGTTCAGACAGACCCTCACAAAGGGGAGCAAAAACAAGCCCATTGATAGAAGCAATTTTTTTTGCCTGCATTATAGGATATATACCAGAGAGTTTCTGCTAGTTCAGAAAGTACCTTATTTCTCAGTTCTAAGACCTTGCTTTCTACCCCAAAAACAACTCTACCAAACCCTTCTCAGTTATGGTACATGCAGGCAACTGGCACAGACTTACTAGCTTTCACAAGCCATGAGGAAGAAGGAGAGGCAGGCAGGCACACAGCAACGGAGTCTCTGAAGACAAAAGCTTGACGAAGCATGGCATGCTCAATCTAAAGTGCAAATATGCTGCTTGCTTTCACGCAGGCTTCCTCATAGCAGCCTGCTCAAACATTGCTCAACCATTTCTCATAAGATCTGGCTACGACACTCTGCCTGAAGTTACTAGTATCTCCTCAGTGCAGTCCAGATCTACCCCACCTCCTCCATTTCTCTGCAGGCACTGCCTATGTGCTGTCATGTTACTTCACCAACTGGGCCCAATATAGGCCTGACCTGGGAAAGTTCATGCCTGACAACATCGACCCGTGCCTGTGCGACCACCTGATCTACGCCTTTGCTGGGATGTCCAACAATGAGATCACAACTTACGAATGGAACGATGAGACCCTTTACAAATCCTTCAATGACCTGAAGAACCAGTATGTACCAGGAGCAAAGGGCATCCCTTGTTCTCCCTCTCAGGTCCTGCCCCGTTATTCAGCGTCTGTTGTCTGCACAATGGCAGTGCAATCCACGGTGGAGTGATGCCAAGGACAAGAGGCAGACAGTGACGGAGAAGGAAAGGGCAGGGCAGGCTGGCAGCACCAGTCCTCTGAGGATGGTGATAGGGATTCAGTGTGCCCCGGCCTTGTTCTTCAGGTTTCACACCAAGAGATCACAGCCTACAAAGGCAGCTACACGAGACACTTTCAAGAAAAGCAAGAGCACTGTGCTTTATTTTGGTCTGTTGTGTAATATTAGAAATTGGTAACTTGTAGTGAAATATGTTCCTGTCCCTTCATTTGTAGCAGTGTAAAACTGAAGACCCTCCTGGCGATTGGAGGATGGAATTTTGGGACAGCCAAGTAAGTTCAAACCATCTCCTTCCCATAACGGCACCCTCGAAAGGGAGGAACAGGGGGGAAGAGGCACCAGCCAAACCCCAACTCTCTCCTGCTCCGCATCTCTAGGTTCTCCACAATGGTTTCCACTTCCGAGAACCGCCAGACCTTCATCAAGTCTGTCATCAAATTCCTGCGCCAGCATCAATTTGATGGGCTGGACATTGACTGGGAATACCCAGGGTCCAGGGGCAGCCCACCCCAGGACAAGACTCTCTTTACCGTCCTGGTTAAGGTAGGTTTTATTCAAGCCCTCTGCTCTGCACAGTTCTGGCCAGAGAGAGCTCTGGGCACCTGCAAAGCCTAAGCCTGGAGAGTCCACGTTGAGACCTGTTTCTTGGCATCCCTCAGGAAATGCTGGCAGCCTTTGAGCAGGAAGCCAAACAGGTCAACAAGTCCCGGCTCATGATCACCGCTGCTGTTGCTGCAGGACTTCCTAACATTCAGGCTGGCTATGAGATTCCTGAGCTTGGAAAGTGAGTAGCCAATTCTCACGTATCGTTTTTTCACCTTGGGAAGAGAAGTGTAACAACAGCCTGGCTCCCAACACTTAATGCTATTGGGGAACGTCTCTCGGTTCCCAGAATACCAGTGCAATTCCCACTCTGCCTTGACCTCTGCCTCCCTGCTCTGGAGGAGAGAACTGGCACCAGCACTTACAAGGCCAACTCAAAAAAAGGCCTTGAAGAACTCAGATTTGCAGAAAGTGGGGACACGGCCAGGGACGTAGTGGGGTGAATGGCCAGCACTAAAGGAACAATCAGGTCTGTGTGGCTGAGCAGGCCAGGAGATAGACGAGAGCTATGTTCTCCACAGGTACCTGGACTACATCCATGTGATGACTTATGACTTCCATGGCTCCTGGGATGGACAAACTGGCGAGAACAGCCCTCTGTATAAAGGCCCAGCTGACACTGGTGACCTCGTCTACCTCAATGTTGTAAGTATATTTTCTGAGATTGTGTCACAGATGATTATCATGACACCAGTGATCAGAAGTTTAAGGAGTCATCCTCCTGCCTACAGATCCTGGCACAGACTTTAACTGTGGTGGGCTTTTTACAGGACTATGCTATGAACTATTGGAAGAACAGTGGTGCCCCAGCTGAGAAACTCCTTGTTGGATTCCCAACCTACGGACATAACTTCAACCTCCAAAACCCATCTGACACTGCTGTTGGGGCACCAGCATCAGGACCTGGGCCAGCTGGACCTTACACAAGGCAGGCTGGGTTTTTGGCTTACTACGAGGTATGCCTGCTCCTACACACCTAGGCCACCAAGGTGCCTTTCACACTACCCAAGAAGGGAATGTTAATCCATGGATCCATGGAATATGCCAACTGCCCTTTTCTGTAGGACACTTGCTAACTTCTCCCTCTCTCCCCTTTTTCTCCTAGATCTGCACATTCCTGGACTCTGGAGCCACCCAGGCTTGGGATGCCCCCCAGGACGTGCCCTTTGGAGGTGCTATGGTTTGGGCCCTTGATATGGATGACTTCACTGGCTCTTTCTGCAAGCAGGGCAAATATCCCTTGATCACCACCCTGAAGAATGGTCTTGGTCTGCAAAACAGTGGTGAGTAGCTTGAGTAGTGTGTGCTTCTTGTAGGCACTCCCTAGTTCACTGATGATGCAGGGCTTCAGAGACCATAAACTTTAATCTCTGGAGCCCTGCTGGATAAAAAACTTTGTGGAAGCCACAACTAGAGATTGCCGTGGAAAGACCGCTTCAGTCCACATCCCCCAAGATAAAAGAGGGAGGTTGTAACTTGGACCTGGGTCCAGAGATTTCAAGGGCCTAGTGTAAGCCAGGCCAGAATTTGGGGGAACACTCTTTATTAGCTGATCCCACCACTAAAGGTCCTATGGAGGTAGGGGAGGGCTGGGAGACTGTCAACACAAAAATCAGCCTTTTCCTGCTTTCATTCCAGACTGCGTGCCTCCGGCTCAGCCCAACCCTCCAATCACTGAAGCTCCTAGCCAAGGAAGGGGAAGTGGGAGCGGGGCCTCAGGCAGCAATACTGGTAGCTCTGGTGGGAGCAGTTTCTGCGCTAGCAAGGCCAACGGCATCTATGCAGATCCAACCAACAAGAGCAACTTCTACAACTGTGCTAATGGTGTAACCTTCATGCAGAGCTGCCAGGAAGGCCTCGTTTTTGATACCAGCTGCTCCTGCTGCAACTGGCCATGAAGATACCAATGCTATTACAGCAAACAGACCTCTCTGACTTAATTGCACAGAATAAGAATGATTAAATAAAGTGTTCTGTAAAAGCAACAATCCTCATTGTTTCAACTCATCTCACTCTTTATATTTTGACACTCCCTCATTCTCTCATGATACTCACACTTGTGCTCAGAGAAGGGCCTGAATGCACAAGCTGGACTTCATTCTGGTATGACATTTTCCAGAGGTTTCTCCCTGCCCTACCTTGAGAACCAGGCACAGGAAAAAAGACACAGAGCAGACAATGGGGCAGCTCAGGCTGTGTCACAAAAGAGATCACAGAGAAGGGTCCTGACAGCACAACCTACAGACTGCTTCCCCCAAGACCTCTCCCCTACTGACTTACAGTGTGTAAACAGCAGCTCCCGGGAGTGGGAGCCAGCACAGCGCAATCCACACGGACATTATCTGTCCTCTTCTTTTCCCTGCACCCTTCAGGCACTGCCATTGCCAGCACTCCCTCCAGCACCCCTGCTCTGTGTCTATAGCAACCGGAGTACACAAACGTCCTGACGCGTCTGGCACGGCAGCATGGAAGCGGAGTGGGAGCCGAGAGGTGAGCCGTGCGAGGTCCGTGCTCCTGGGGGGCTGTGGGCACAAGGGCTTCCTTCTCGCGCAGCTGCCTGGCAGCATCAGGCATCCCCAGCAACCTTCCCCACACTGGGGCTGCTAGGCTACTCTGCTCAGGCTGGGCAAAAAGACGCCTTTGTGGCAGGAGGGAACAGGCATCCAAAGGGCAGATACCTCACAAATATCCAGGGTCAGGGGAAATTCCCATCTGGGAATGGGGATGGTTGGCCTCGGGCAGAGAGCAGCAGACACTTAAGAAGGAAAAAAAGCAGCAAGTTGTCACCTCCACATGGGTTTATCACACTGGTCGCGTTTCCCTCTCCTGGTGTCACAGATGTGCAGAAGCGGATCTCATTTGGGTCATGTCAGGAGCGGAAAATGTTCCCTCTCCACCACGCCCCGGACAGGCTGGGAATCCAGCTGGGAGCCATCAGGGGAGACCCTTCGCTTGGGCCAGGCTGTTACCTGAGTCAAGAGGTGCGTTGTTCGGTTTTTGTACTCAGAGCTTTTCCTCCACAGAGGACGCACAGTACAGGAGCAACGGGACCATGGCCACCCAGACACGGAATCCCTCACACCTGCCCTGCAAACCCATTGTACAATGTCTCCCCATATACCTAGAAAAAGAAGTTCCCCTCCCCTTCCAAATGTACCAGTCCTCAAACCTCCATCTGCCCTAGTACTCTACATTAGTGAGAAACTGGAAGAATTAATAGCAATAATGTCACTGGTCATGTACCTCTGCCCTTCCCCTGATGCAAATGGTGTCTTAAAACTGTCGGTAAGACACTTCTGCTTTTGAATCACAGAGCAACAGCCTCAGATACAATTTGGACAGCAAACCACTGAGCAAGAAAGGCTACGTGATAGGAGCGAGAACAGCTCAGCGTTTCATACCAGAGCCACAGGTAAGAAAAGCACATTCCAAAGCGGCAGAGCTGCAGCTTTGCAAGAATTTGTAGGCTGTTCCCAACACAGACTATCAGTTTCGATCACATTTACCTCCAAGTTAATATATACGGTAGATACAGATCTCCTTACGCATAGTCTAGTGTGAGGTGTTGAGCCTAGAGACCGATGATTGATCGTATGAGCTCTGGCAACATCGACACATGCATCTGTACATACACATTCCTTTGTACCACATACACACACATGTACATGTACAAATTGCAGCAAAAATCAGAGAGGGAGCTCTGCTATACTACCTGAACAAACCCACTATGTTTTCTGGCCCATCTTCTCTAGAACAACAATATATTAGGAGAGACATCACAGGACACACTGGGTAAGGACTAGAAAGTGCATAATTGACTTATTCGGATTTTTTTACACTATCAGAGTAGCCAAAGTATGCATCGAACAGCAGGTCTGCAATGCCCAGCTGGCTGCTGATCAGAGAATGCAGGAATTGTTTGCAGAGCAAAATCTTCCATATTGAAATTTTCTTGCAGACTGTGACTCCCAGCCCAGGAACATACCAGTCATTCTGGATGAAAGAGAGAAAATGCAAGCCTGCCTATGCTCCATTTTCCACTAAGACACCACGATTTCCAGATAAGCCTTCAGATAAACAATCTTTCCCTGGGTAACGTAACTCATTTTCTTACACTTTTAATAATAAGCAGTACTAGCAGAGAGAAGTACTAAAACACAAATGGGAAACAGGTAACTGAGCTCCCAGTAATGCTTTTTTATCTTCAAAAAGCTCCCCTGCTTTAGTATTTAACTTAGCATGATGCCTAGAGTACCACAACATGCATTTCTCCCATGGATCAAGGTAGGGCTGCTAAATTCCGGTATTACAAACATCATGCACCAGCTCCAGCAATGAGGTATTTTGTGCCTGTTTTCTTTAGACCTGGAACTTATGAAGCAGATAAGCAATTACACAGAAGAGTCACTTGGCCAATGAAGTTTGGGTCTCCAGACTGGTCTTTAGTGCCAATGCCAGCAAAGAGGATGCTAAAAATGGAGGTACAGATGGTAAGGACACGGATAAGTGGACATTATTCCTGGCTCAATGCTTCTGACGAAGGAAAAGGGCTGATTACTTCAATGCATTCGCACTGTGCTTTGTCGTTTCCTCGCTGGCCTGCTGGGTACTTGGCTCTGCTGGCCTGGGGCACAAGGTACAAAGTGATTTTCTATGAGAAAACACTCGTTTGCAAAACCAGCTACAGTCCTTCAAAAAAACCCTTCTGTTAAAAAATTTGCTCTGGATGTTTCCATCCACAAAGTGAGAGAACCAGAGCACAGACTTCCCTGCGCAGTTCTACTGAAAAGAAAACCTTTCTGATTCAAAACCTGGGTAAAGGTTCTCCACACCACCTCATGTCCTCCTGCGCTTTCCTGAAGCAGTTGTCATTGCTGATATCTAACGGACAGTGCTTGCCTTTTAGCTGACCACAGACAGAGAATTCAGGAAGCACCGGGACCGAGTGGCCTACCTGAGTTTATACTACAGCTGAGGAGATGCTGCTG